CATTTTTTTTTGGGGGGGGGGTGGGGTATTTTTTCTGTCCTGGCATTTAGGGCTTCAAGAAATGAGATCTGCTGTCAGTACATCAGGATCAATTTTCAAACATATACACCAGATTGTAGACATTATAACTTTCATGCAAACTAATTAACCACATCCCTGCCGCCCTATAGCAGAAATACTACTACAGGGGGACAGGGGTCTGCAAAATCATGTATATATATGTGATTGTATATTTCCGGGTAGTGGGCCCTACCTGTGCTGCCATTCATGGCCGCGGCTGTCAATCACCGGGTCCCGGCCGGTGATTATCCGCTGGCGTTCGGTGATTACAGAGGATCTCCGACAGGGAGGAGGACTGTTTTGTTTACTAACAGTCCTCCTCCCTGTCTGCTTGGGCACACTGCTCTGGATGGCTGTGCACAACACAGCCATCCCAAGCAGTGTGCTTACAGTGAAGCCCACACACACTGCCCCCCAGTAAAACACTCCCAGCACGCAGCTAACCCTTTGTTCGCCCCTCATGTTAACCCCTTCCTGCCCAGTGTAATTAATACAGTGTCAGTGCTTTTTTGAAGTACTGATCACTGTATTGGTGTCACTGGGGATGTCAGTGACACCAAGTCAGTCCCCCCCGTGTTAGAATGCCCACCGCAGTCCAGCATTAAGTTGCTGATTGCTGCTATTACTAGTTAAAAAAAATAAAAAATAGCAAAGACATAGCAGAATACGTTTTGGCCTAAATTTATGATGAAATTTGAAGTTTAAAATCTTTTTACTGGACATGTTTAATAGCAAAAATTCAAAAATATTGTTTTTTTTCTCTCAAAATTGTGTGTCTTTTTTTTTTTTATAGCACAAAAAATAAAAAACGCACAGGCAATCAAACACCACCGAAAGAAATTTGTGGGAAAAAAGGACATAAATGTAATTTGGGTGCAGCACTGCATGACCGCGCAATTGCCAGTTTAAGTAACACAGCTCCGTAATGCAATAAATGGCCTGGTTAGAAAGGGGGTAAATCCTCTAGAGGGTAAGTTGCTAATATGCACTTATTGGGATTTTTTTTAAGAAAGACATGTAGCAGAAAACTGTCAGGTCAGCGGTCTTTCCCATGATTGTGATTCCTACTGAACCAGACTGAGACCATTTAAAGGCTCAGGAACCCTTTGCAGGTGTTACGGCTTAATTAGCTGATTAGAGTGGGACACTTTGAGCCGAGAATATTGTACCTTTTCACAATATTCTAATTTTCTGAGATTGTGGATTTGGGGTTTTCATGAGCTGTAAGCCATAATCATCACAATTATGACAAATCACGGCTTGAACTATCTTGCTTTGCATGTAATGAGTCTATCTCATATATTAGTTTCATCTTTTAAGTTGCATTACTGAAATAAATGAACTTTTGCACGATATTCAAATTTTTTGAGTTTCACCTGTATTTGTGTGCAAAAAAATGCAAAAATTTTTATTTGAGTACAATTACATGACTGCGCAATTGTCAGTTAAATTAGCGCAGTGCAGAATAGCAAAACATGCCCTGGTCATGAATGGGTAAAATCTTCTGGAGCTTGAGAGGTTAAACTGCATATTCCAAGAACACCTCGGTCGGCTCATACTAAATTGCAGAATATACTAACTGTTTATATGTATTATTTTTTTCATGGACCCTTGGGATTAGAATATTTTAATAAGATTGCCTTTTTTTTAATAGAATGCAAATTCCTGGATGGTTGCTACCAATATGAGTAATATGCATATACTGTATACTGTACATAAATATCACATTTTGTTTTTCTATATTTTTCTATTTTTTTTTCCAGACATTTAGCAGCTGAGCAAATGTTTCATATGCAGTCTTGTTTGGCATGACCATAGGTAGTGGAATGTCTTCCTATTACTTGAAATATAAAACTACTTTTCCTTTTCGAATACTGCTTTTTTTTAAAGGTAGTACCTTTAAAGATCTCATAATTATTAATCCATTATGAAGTTTTGTGTAGAAAATGACGTCTATTTGCCATAGGTAGCCAGTTCCAAGAAGGAGGGCAATCCTCGGTGAGGACATTTTACAGAGACAAATCTTCAAATTATTGGACTGTTGTCTTCAAGGAAGAGTCAAGATAAAGACTTTGTGAATTGCAAATTGTGTTCTGTAATTTGTCCCATTTATAACCACTCTAAAGTTAGGCTTCTGGTAAAAAGCACAATCTTATTCACAAATAGAACAGAGAGTTTTTTTTATGACTTTGTATGTTTTTTAATGCAACAGTACAAAAGTGAAGAGACAATGCCAAAAAAAGGGAGCATTAAAAGCAAAGTAAAAATCTGCAAAAGGATGAAAAGGTGATATTCCTACCCTTTGTAAGGGAAGATTGGGGTAGCACAATAAACTAAATTGATGATCTCTGCTAGAGACCAATTTGTTCAGCTAATGTTTCTCCATAGAATATATTACACTTCCCTGAGACACTCTAACTCAACCGTGTCCCCCATCCCGTCACAGCGCTGACCAATCAGAAGCCATCTTGCCCGTACTGTCATCTCTGTAAGGAGAGGAGAGAAAGCTGTGGGAATTTCAAATCTCCAGACTTGTGAAGTGGCTTTTCACTGCGTGACAGTATGGGATGGGTGCAAGGAGGTTTCCTGCACTGTTCGTGTGTGAACTCAGGCTATGACAAGCCTAGGTTCACACAGGAGCAGAGAGGAAACTACATGTGATTCAGACAGGAATCGCACCACATTTCTGTTCAAATTGCATACTATTCTTTGCAGTGCAATTTGCACCCATTCATTTTGGACACAAATCGCACCACACAGTATCGAAACTCGGTAGTGGAAAGCACTTGACCGAAAGTATCGATACTCATACTCACCGATAAAGAAAGGGTATTGGTGCATCCCTAATATATATATATATATATATATATATATATACTATATTGAAAAAAGTATTGGGCCGCCTGCCTTTTCATGCACGTGAACTTTAATGGCCCCCCAGTCTTAGTCCATAGGGTTCAATATTGAGTTGGCCCCGCCCTTTGCAGCTATAACAGCTTCAACTCTTCTGTGAAGGCCGTCCACAAGGTTTAGGAGGGTGTCTATGGGAAGGTTTGGCCATTCTTCCAGAAGTGCATTTGTAAGGTCAGGCACTGATCTCAGACAGAAAGGCCTGGCCTGCATTTTCCGCTGTAATTAATCCCAAAGGTGTTCTATCGGGTTGAGGTCAGGACTCTGTGCAGGACAGTCAAGTTCCTCCACAACAAACTCGCTCATCCATGTCTTTATGGACCTTGCTTTGTGCACTGGTGTGCAGTCATGTTGGAACAGGAAGGGGCCATCCCCAAACTCTTCCCACAAAGTTGGGAGCATGAAATTGTCAAAAATGTCTTGGTATGCTGACACCTTAAGAGTTTCCTTCACTGAAACTAGGGGGCCAAGCCCAACCCCTGAAAAAAACAACCCCACACCATAATCCCCCCTCCTCAAACTTTACACTTGGCACAATGCAGTCAAGCAAGTACCGTTCTCCTGGCAACCACCAAACCCAGACACATCCTTCAGATTTTCAGACAGAAGTGGGATTTGTCACTCCAGAGAACACATCCCCACTGCTCTAGAGTCCAGTGGCGGCGTGCTTTACACCACTGCATCCGACGCTTTGCATTGCACTTGGTGATATAAGGCTTGGATGCAGCTGTTCGGCCATGGAAATTCATTCCATGGAGCTCTCTATGCACTGTTGTGTGTTAATCTGAAGGCCACACCAAGTTTGAAGGTCTTTAGCTATTGACTCTGCAGACAGTTGGCGACTTCTGCGCACTGTGCGTTTCAGCATAAGCTGACCCAGCTCTGTCATGTGACGTGGCCTACCACTTGGTGGCTGAGTTGCTGTTGTTCCCAGTTGCTTCCACTTTGTTATAATCCCACAGTTGACTGTGAAATATTTAGTAGCCAGGAAATGTCACTGATGGACTTATTGCACAGGTGACAACCTATCACGGGACCACGCTTGGAGTCACTGAGCTCCTGAGAGCGACCCATTCTTTCACAAATGTTTGTAGAAGCAGTCTGCCTGCCTAGGTGCTTGATTTTATACACCTGTGGCCATGGAGGTGATTGGAACACCTGAATGCAATGATTTGGAGGGCTGGCCTAATATTTTTGGCAATATAGTGTATATAGTATACTGTGTGTATATATATATATATTTCCTATGTTGGTAATGCTCAGACTAGACAGACTTCAGACTGAACCCATTACTAAGCATAACCTGTGCTGAGACCTAGCTGTTGAGGACACAATGCTAAGATTTCGTTTCAGCTGGCTGATTGTGCTCTGTCTAGGCACATAATAAGGTAACATAGCATTTGACCTTCAACCAGGCAGGCTTAGCTGTGTCTCGCAGAGTTTGGGCTAGTTATATTCACAGGCTGATGCATCCGTGCATTGTGCTGACCTACAAAGCAAAGGATGCTGGAGCTGGTTGCTGTGAGATCGTAGGTCTGCTGCGTGTATAAGTGCTGCAATTGTTATTTGCGATGTGCATGCCACCCATCCAGAGATGCAGATAGAATATATGAAATCAGCCTTTCCAACAGATGTATTTACTTAGTCTGCTGACAGCATGATTTGAAACAGAACATTTAAATTAAACCAAGAAGACTATGACAGATAATGCCAAAACTCTTCTATATTGTAATCCCTGCTTATAAAACTTACCAGGGACAGATCTAGCCTATGTGATCTGGGAGTGCAGTAAAAAAAAAAAGTTAATGGGCAGAATGTTAACACTGTCACAGTGTCACAACCTGGGAAACGCTGTTATGTATTAGGCTGTCATTAGAATTGGATGATTAAACAGAACCTGTTGCCCCTTATATTAGATGTCCCTATCAGAGTCCTCTTAACATCAGGAGTCCTCATCAGAGTCCCCCTTTATATAGAGTCCCCATCAGCTTTGCCCCTTACATCGGGTACCCCCTTTAGAGTACCCCTTTACATCAGATGTCCCCATCAGAGTGCCTCCTCACATCAAGGTCCCCATCAGAGTGCCCCCGTACATCAGGTGTCCCCATCAGAGTGTCCCCTTACTTCCAGTCCCCATCAGAGTGCCCCCGTACATCAGGTGTCCCCATCAGAGTGTCCCCTTACTTCCAGGTCCCCATCAGAGAGTGCCGCCATACATCAGATGTCCCCATCAGAGTGCCCCCTTACATCAAGGCCCCCATAAGAGAGCCCCCTTACATGTGTCCCCATCAGAGGGCCCCCTACATCAAGGTCCCCATCAGAATGCCCTGTTACATCAGATGTCCCCATCAGAGTGCCCCTTACTTCCAGATCCCCATCAGAGTGCCCCCTTACATCAGATGTTCCCATCAGAGTGTCCCCTTACATCAGGTGTCCCCATCAGAGTGCCCCCATACATCAGATGTCCCCCTCAGAGTGTCTAAACTGACTGCATCACACTGGCTCATGAACTCACAAAGACCTGGGGGGGGGGGGGGTTTGTAGGATTAGAGTCAGGTGTATGATTAACCAATTTTAACAAGCAGGGGTTGATATTCATCAATTTCATATGTAGGTTGAAACACAGTAATTTTAAGAAACAGAAACAGCTGTGTAGGCGGCTTAAATCTGGGCAAGGAACAGTCAAACTCTGCTACTAAGGTGAGGTTGTGGGAGACAGTTTCAGGTCACAGATCATACTCCATGGCAAGACTGAGCACAGCAACAAGAAACAAGATAGTTATACTCCACCAGCAAGATTTCTCCCAGGCAAAGGTTTCGAAGCAAACTGTTCAAGATGTGCTGTTCAAGCTCTTTTGAAGAAGCACAAAGAAACAGGCAACATCGAGGGCCGTAGACGAAGTGGCCATCCAAGGAAACTTAATACAGCAGATGAAAGACACATAATGCTTACTTCGCTCCAGCAGTGCCATCAGCACAGAATAGGCAGAAACCAGTGGCACCCAGGTACCCCAATCTACTGTCTGGAGAAATATGGCCAGAAGTGGTCTTCACAGAAAAATTGCAGCCAAAAAGCCATACCTCTGACATGGAAACAAAGCTAAGCCACTCAACTATGCAAAAAAACATAGGAACTGGGGTGCAGAAAAATGGCAGCAGGTTCTCTGGACTGATGTGTCAAAATTTTAAATATTTGACTGTAGCAGGAGGCAGTTTGTTTGCCGAAGGGCTGGAACGTGGTGCATGAATGAGTGCAGACAACAATGAAACATGGTGGAGGTTCCTTGCAAGTTTGGGATGCCTTTCTGCAAATGGAGTTGAAGATTTGGCCAGAATCAATGGTGTCCTCAATGCTGAGAAATACAGGCAGATACTCCATTATGCCATACCAACAGGGAGGTGTGTGATTGGTCACAAATTTATTCTGCAGCAGATAACAACCCCAAACATACATCCAATGTCATTAAGAACCATCTTCAGTGTAAAGAAGAACAAGGAGCCCTGGAAGTGATGGTTTGGCTCCCACAGAGCTCTGATCTCAACATCATGGAGTCTGTCTGGAATTACATGAAGAGACAGAAGGATTTGAGGTAGCCTACATCCACTGAAGATCTGTGGTTAGTGTTTTGAACAACCTACCTGCCGAGCTACTGAAAAAACTGCGTGTAAGTGTACCTAGAAGAACTGATGCTGTTTGGAAGGCAAAGGGCAGTCACACCAAATATTTACTTTCCATTTTGTTAATTGATACAAATAAACTATTAACATTTCTCTTTCTGGAAGCTTTCTTATGTTACAGTATTATAAAGCAGTGAGCGTGGCTTTCACTAAGCATTCACTGGTGGTGAATCTGCAAAAATACAAAATGTTCTATATCAGATATGGATACTTTGAGCAAAGCTAAACATTGTACTGCGCTTGCCAAAAAAAAGTTCATTCCTTGAGTTCAGCTTTGAGGCTCCATTGCCTTTAACTACTGGTCTCAGGAGATTTGGAGTGAAATTTGGTGAAATCACTACTGTGCTGCTCATTGTTCTCCTTCCTGGAGGCTGACATGAGGAAGTAAAGCCCTGCCTCTGTGAAGATGGCTGCTTCCACTCAGAGACACAGAATGGTAAGTCAGTAATGCACATATGTGACCAGGTGTGCGGAGGTTTCTATCCTGGGAGCATGCTTATTGACCAGGTTGTCATTGTTCTTGGTCTCTAGTCATGTTTGGGAGCTGATGCCAGTCATGTGACCACTGTGACAGCCAAACACAGTGGTCATGTGATCACGCAATCCTTCCTGCCTCTTGGGCATAAAGACCCTGCTGGGGATGGGCAGGAAGGGGTTAACAATAAGAAAAAAAAAACAAACAGGAATCCTGAATGCTATAGCTTTATTGGTATCTGTAGAACATAACACTGGGCCACACAGTGTCCCCCCCCTACAGTGCCATTGTATTGAATTCACCTTTAGCTGGATATTAAACACTCAGCCTGTGATTAACGTCGACATTATTCAAACAGGTTTAACATTTCGCCAAGTGGCTGAACATCACGGTCAGTTAGGTTTTATTTTGTGATTCCTAAATATGTAGCATGGAGACAAAGTCGGAAAGTACAATAGTGGAGCATTCCTATCTCAAAGTTATAATTTACTTGAATGCCTTGTGCTCCATTAAACAACCTGAGAAGAAACACGGGCGGCATTACCATTTTTTTTTTTTATAGATATTAGCGGACAGTCAGCCTTCCGAATAAACAAGCGGCTTTAAATTGTTTATGGTGAGGTAAAAATTGCACATTGGCAAATTGTATTATTCTCAGCCAGAAATTCCATAAATTGAGGCAGAGGAGAAAAAAAATGACAAAACAAGCATTTGCTCTATATTAGGGGCTTTGTATGAGAAAATAAGACAGCGTTTTATTTAATAACTGGATTCTTAAAGCATATTTTATGATTGCTGTGGTGGCTGATTCACAAAATACATCATAAAATGTAAGGTCCTGACTAAAAAGAGATAAGAAAAAGCAGATAAAAAGGGAGATATAATGGATCTGCAGACTTCCAAAGTGGGCAAGTCCTCCTTTGGGTTTCAATGTCACTGCCTGGTTGTCATAGACACTTCTCATTGGCTGTCCAGAGGTGGTGTCCTCTCATGCATCAGAATGGCAGTGGTGAGATGACACAGTGCCTTGAAAAAGTATTCATACCCCTTGGAATCTTCCACATTTTGTCATGTTAAAACCAAATACGTAAATGTATTTTATTGGGATTTTATCTGATAGACCAACACAAAGTGGCACATTGTGAAATGGAAGGAAAATGATAAATGGTTTTTAAAATTTTTTTACAAATAAATATCTGAAAAGTCTGGCGTGTATTTGTATCCAGCCCCCCGGAGTCAATACTTTATAGAACCACTTTTGCTGCAATTGCAGCTGCAAGTCTTTTTGGGGATGTCTCTTTGCACATCTAGAGAGTGACATTTTGGCAAAATACAGTGATACCTCGGTTCACAAACACTTCTGTTCATGAACAACTCGGTTTGCGAACAGAAGAGTTCGCAAAAATTTGCTTCAGTTCGCGAACTCCGCTTCGGTTGACGAACACAAGCCGCGGCCCTCTTCCCTGCTCTGACATATGGTCATGACTTCCTGTAGGTGAGATCGTGGTTACAGACAGACACTGAAAGTGTATTGTGAAGACACTTACAGTACTGAGAAGCGTTTTGGTGTGCTTTTTAGCACATACTATACTATACAGTACTGTACTGTACATCTCTGTGCCCACTTGCTGTAAAGCTTTTTTGTGTGCTTTTTAGCACATACTGCATTGGACATCCAGTATGGCTCCAAAGAAAATTCAGAGCAAGCATGGTGGTAGAAAAAAGTTTGGAGCGGTAATGAAGGTGACAAGAATGTGCAGAGCAAGCATGTTGTTAAAAAGAAAGTGCAGAGTGGTAATGAAGGTGACTAGAACATGCAGAGCGGTAATGAAAGTGACAAGAAAGTGCAGAGTGGTAATGAAAGTGACAAGAAAGTGAAGAACGGTAATGAAAGTGATAAGAAGGTGCAGAGCAGTAATGAAAGTGACAAGAAAGTGCAGAGTGGTAATGAAAGTGACGAGAAAGTGCAGAGCGGTAATAAAAGTGACAAGAATGTTCAGAGCAGTAATGGAGGTGCTTAAACGAAAAAAAAAAAGTGCCAAAAGACCAGGTGTATCCACCCATTGAAATGCATTTCCCCGACTCACCACTAATAGGGTGTGGATTCTAAAACCAAACAACATATAAATAGATATTAGCAGCTGACAAGGGCAGACCTGTCACAAAATCAGTATATAATGAATCCCATGTGGAGTAATAGTTCACTATTATAGTGGATGCAATTATTTTTATTAAGATCACATGGATCATGAAAAGGTAGACATTTATATCACGGTGAACACATTGTCAATCATGAAAGTAAAATCAAAAAAATAAAAACAAAAAAAAAAAAGTTCTGCATTTTCACTTAGTTGCATATATGGCAAAAAGAGCCAGAAAGTGACAAGAAAGTGCAGAGTGGTAATGAAGATGACAAGAATGTGCAGAGCAGTAATGAAGGTGACAAGAAAGTGCAGAGTGGTAATGAAGGTGACAAGAAAGTGCAGAGTGCTAATGAAGGTGGCAAGAATGTGCAGAGCAAGCATGGTGGTAAAAAGAAAGTGCAGAGCAGTAATGAAGGTGACAAGAAAGCGCAGAGCAGTAATGAAGGTGACAAGAATGTGCAGATCAAGCATAGTGGTAAGAAGAAAGTGCAGAGCGGTAATGAAGGTGACAAGAAAGTGCAGAGTGCTAATGAAGGTGACAAGAATGTGCAGATCAAGCATGGTGGTAAAAAGAAAGTGCAGAGCAGTAATGAAGATGACAAGAATGTGCAGAGCAGTAATGAAGGTGACAAGAATGTGCAGATCAAGCATAGTGGTAATAAGAAAGTGCAGAGCGGTAATGAAGGTGACAAGAAAGTGCAGAGTGGTAATGAAGGTGACAAGAATGTACAGAGCAAGCATGGTGGTAAGAAGAAAGTGCAGAGGTGCAGAGCAGTAATGAAGGTGAAAAGAATGTGCAGAGCAGTAATGAAGGTGACAAGAAAGTGCAGAGCAGTAATGAAGGTGACAAGAATGTGTAGAGCAAGCATGGCGGTAAAAAGAAAGTGCAGAGCAAGAATGGCGGTAAGAAGAAAGTGCAGAGCAGTAATGAAGGTGACAAGAATGTGCAGATCAAGCATGGTGGTAAGAAGAAAGTGCAGAGCAAGAATGGTAAGAATACGGTTGTGAAGAAAATAACCATTGAATTGAAGGAAATTGTAGAAAAGCATGACCGTGGTATTTGTGTGATTGATCTGGCCTCGGAATACAAGATGGCTAAGTCAACAATCTTGACTATTTTGAAGAAGAAAGCTGCCATCAAAGGAGCTGATGTGGCAAAAAGAGTAACGATGTTAACCAAGCAGAGGATGCAAGTGCTGGAAGAGGTGGAAAAACTTTTGTTAATGTGGTTGAATGAGAAACAGCTGACAGGTGATAGCATT